AAAGGTGATTTATGATAAGTTGTGGAAGACGAAAGTACTGAACGATATAATACTGAAAATTGTTACAAAATTGGCAGAAGCGTTCCCGAAGATTAAAAGAAGGCATTTGAATAGTATTTAAATTCTATTGGAGGTGAAAATTTTGACGGACAATTGAGAGGTTGAAATTGTTATCAAAACAGTATAGGCATCTCTAAAAATAAAAAGAAGACATTCGAATGATATTTGATATCTGCTAGAAGTGGAAATTCTGATTGACAATTCAATGTGAAGAATTGCTACCAAAATGTTATAGGTTTATCTAAGGATGAAAAGAAGGCATTCAAGTAGAAGTGAAACTACTAATGGGCAATTAATTGTTTGGAAGTGTTATCAAAAAGGCATAGGCATAGCCAGAGATGTAAAGAAGGCATTTGAGTGGTATCTAAAATCTGCTGATGGTGGAAATCCCGATGGACAGTTGATTGTTGGAGACTGTTACCGGAACTGCATAGGCATATCTAAAGATGAAGAGAAGGCATTCGAACAATACTTAAAATCTGCAGTGGTGGAAAATTGGAGGGACAATTAAATATGAAAATTTTGTCGAAATAGCATAGTCGTTCCCAGAGACGAAAAGAAAGCTTTCGAAGGTATTGCTGAAGGATGAAATCCTAGTTGACGATTGAATGTTGAATTTTGTTACGATGAGTGCATCAGTATTTCAAGGATAAATTAAAGCATTGGAATGGTATTTGAATTCTACCGAAGATGGTAACTTAATTGAACAATTCAACATTGATAGGAATATAGTGAATGTAATAAATAAGGATTTCTAATATGGAACAGATGAGTATCTTACAATTATATTTAATTAAAAGGTAAAAATAATTTTAATATTTATTACGAAAATTCTTTATCGAGATCTACAGGACGAAAATCTGCCGAAATTGAAGGATAAAGATTTTGTTAATTTATTTGAATGTAAAGATACCAGGCTTCATTTTAATATCGTATTTTCACGAAATAACGCGCAGAGGTATAATTTCAAATTTTGGCCTAAATTAAGCTTAATTCAGGCCAAGATTCGAAATAACGTCTATGAGCGTTATTTCGCGAAAATACTGTATTTTGCATAGTGTAATGAACCCTAAAGAAAAATCAATAAAAATACAGAATCCATTAAAACAAAAAATTACGATATTGTGTTATCAAATGGCTGGATTATGAAACAAGTAAACAGCACCAAAGCTACGTTGGAATTATTTTTTGCGAAGTCTGGAGCTTTAGCCCATTGTGTAAATACTGTAGCTAATATAGAATTATGTATTACGTACGTAACAAACAACTTTTAGTGAAATTGACAAAATAAGCAATGAATATTGTATTAGTGTAAAAAAATATATTTGGGTTTATGTTTATGTAAGACTATTATACCAGGAACGTAGTAATGAAATTACGAAGTGTATGGTTAACAGACAACTAGAATGGGTTGTGAACAAATTCCGGGTTATGATTGGACAGAAGTAAGACATGTGAAATTATTATAGAATTGTGGAATTGTAGTACGTGTATATATGAGTGTCGCCAAAAGAAAACATGCACATTTATATATAGTATATACTATATAAATGTGCATGTTTTCTTTTGGCGACACTCATATATAGGTATGAATATGAGTATATGCTTGAATGGGTGTGATGAACTCATAGGGTGGATTTTTTCGGATTGGCCTTTGAATATGGATTGCCTTGAAATTTTGTTTGAAGGCCTTAAAGTACACTTGAATAATTCGATGATTTGTTGAAGAAAAATCGACGCGAAATAACGTTAATGGTTTTAGAGAGGGAGTGATGTCTACTAATTAGGAAAACTCACAGAATTAGCCCGCTTGGCTACGAGACGATATACATAGTCATTGGTCAGATGAAGCTAAAATATGAAGTTATTTAAAGGTGTCATAAATTATTTTATTAGACCATTGCTTACTAACGCTCATTGTAAATTGTTCCAAACTAAATAGGTGTAGATGCTATCAAAATATGAGAACTGATTTTAAATAATTGAATTGATAATGATAATTTTGAGTTTAACCTTTGAAATTTAAGCTTTGGTTTATTGGTTGTATATTGTATAATAAGTTCGGGTTTAAATACGGTTAATACTGCTTTTATTACACTTTGGGTGATTTTACCGATGTTTGGTGTACTTTTCTTGTGCGTGCGTTAATTTATTTGCGTGAGGAATTCTTTTTACGACATTAGGAATGATTGAATTCTTTTTGCATCAATTAATTTGGACGGATTTTTGACTTTCATGAAAGCTGTGAGCCTGTGTAACTGTGTTAATGCAGTCAATTATGGGCGGTGGATAATTGTACCAGGAACGTAGTGGAACGGAGTGTATGGTTCAATTAGAGTTTTGTGTGCGTCCACAACATCTCGATTTTGATTGGATGCCTTCTTTTTTGTATGTGTTATTCCTTTCGATATTTATAATATATTGGTCATGTGGCTCGTTTCAGCCAACCATTTGTTTCTGCAGAACAAATTTCATATTTATCATCACATGATCAAATATCGTTATCTTGCAATTATGATCATGTTTTACAAGTCATTATTGGCTAACTGAGTTTTAATTCGAGATTGTTGTGCTTATATAATAAAGTACATTAAATAACAAGAAGAAAAAAAATCTATAATCTTAAGAGTTTGTACGATAACTTGAAATCATGATTTTATAAGTACGTAGGTGCGTGCGCATATGCGCATTAAAGTACACTCACTTTAATAATATCAACAATCCATATAATAAATTTTGTATAAACAATCAAATAACAATTTTCTAAAACTCAAATCTATTATTTTTCTATGCAATTTAATTTCTTACATTTGAAATTTCAAAATTAAATCAAAAACTCTTATGTTTTTCAATCCATGGTTCAACATAGTAAAATTACAATTTAAAAATCTGGTTTATTTTCTCTTATTGATTTTAACCCTATTATAAAAATAATACACGGATTTTTAAAATCCAAATTTACGTTCCTGGTTTGGCGCGACTGCGTCGCGCAGCTACCTTATTAATATACTAATTTTTAATTTTAATACGATTTATTGTAATAATTTTTATTATAACTTTTACATTACCTGTATTCCATTAACAAATTCTGCTTGATAGATCGTTCACACTACCACTATATTATTTAATACTGCCTATTCTTTATAATGTTATATAGTTTATACTCCATTATTGAAATAATCAAAATTACTTTTGTTTTAGAGAAATTAAACCTAGTTCTATCGATTTTTAGGCGGTCGTTATTACATTATTTAAAATAAAGTCGTCCTATGAGCTTGGCCAACAGTCCAAACCACTATCACATGATTTTACAGAGAACGATTTTAATACTAAAATGTTGACATAGTTTTTATGAATTTATTTTTTAAGCGTTTAAGATTTATTTCTGTATTTAATTGATTATAATGAATTAATCTGCGGTGTCTTCACTCTTCCGGAATTTCCACTTCATCGATCGGAGCGCTGACAATTGTCGTTTTTGATAATGCTTTCGTGATCTCTTGCGTGTTAATGGACTTTGAAGTGTATCTATTATGATCCGGATCTTTTTGTACGATACTTGGTAGTTTTTTAATCATCTTATCAGCTTCTAAGAATTGCTTTTTAATTTTTCTTGTGTTACTTCCATGCGCAAGCTCTTCGATCCAAGTTTTAATTAACGCATTAATATATATAGCAGTAAGTCTTTCTTTTGGATCTGAGTTCATACATTGTTTAGCTAATTTAACGTAACATTTGGGAGTCCCGGGTGCGAATTCTGGTCGCAATCCCCCACAAATCTTTATTGCTAAATCATTATTAATTTCGTAACCATCGAAAATTTTTTTTCCTGTTAATATTTCCCACATAATTATACCAAACGAATAGATATCTGCTGCTTGTGTAAATGGTTGACCTGATAAAACTTCTGGTGCAACGTAAGGTAAAACTCCAACAATTTCGTTATCGTTTTTAACAGGCGACGTAAGACCTAAATCCACGATATACGCATTATCCAAATCGTCTTGTAAGATGTTACCACTATGCAAATCTTTGTGAACATATCCTTGTGAATGAATTGCTTCAATATCAGATGTTATGCAACTTAATAAATTTAATTTTTTTTCCCATTTCATTTGCGATACTTGGCGGAGATTATCACGTAAAGAACCCTTTTTTGCATAGTGTAAAATAAGAATGTAATTTCCTGAATTATCTCTCGATAGCCCGTAGCACCTTAAGAACGATGGATTTTTATATCCGATCTCGCAAAATGCTTTCAACTTTAAAAAAGAACATATTAATCATAAATTTAAATATCAAACAAACTCGATAAATTTACCTCATCAAAAAAACCTTGGTCATGAATTATTTTAAATGCGTATGAATTATTAGAGTAGGAATCCTTATAATCAATTCGGCAATCGGCACAATAAACAGTTGCAAATCCTCCTTTCCCAACCTCTTTAATATTTTCAAATTTATCATATGGGATCCATAATAATTGATACTTTGCATCATCCAATATTTTTTTAACATTCTCATCGATACCAGAATAAGTGAATTTCTTTACCTCTGTTTAATACCAAGTTAAACTATTAAGTACAAACATAAACATAAATAAAAAAATTACAAGATTATTACCTTGAAACTTGCTTCTTTCACTATTTTTAATTATTAATATTATTTAATATTTTTTATTGAATAATTATAAAAAAGAAGGCTTACATTTTGAACCAATATTCTGCTTCTTTTAGGTCCTTTTTTGTTCCGATTCCGTTTCGATAAAAATAACCAACGAGTTTCATTCCTTCGGCATTACCCATTTTAGCTGATTTCAGATACAATTCAAAGGCTTTTTTCAAATTTATTTCAACACCTTTTCCATATTGATAACAATCCGCAAGATTAAATGTTCCAAACATATCTTCCATATTATCAGCTTTTTGATACTGAATAAATGCTTTGTGTTCATCCTTCTCAATTCCAATTCCATTATCATAAAAATAACCAAGTTTAAATATTCCTCCAACATGACCCATATCAGCAGATTTTTGAATATAATTAAATGCTTTTCTTTCGTCCTTTTCAACTCCAATTCCAAATTCATAACAATTTCCAACATTATATGTTCCACTAGCATTCCCCATCTCTGCAGATTTTTGATAATAAATGAATGCTTTATGTTCATCCTTTTTAACTCCAATTCCTTTTTCATAACAATATCCAACATTACTTGTTCCATCAGCGTCCCCCATTTCTGCTGATTTTTGAAAGTATTCGAAGGCTTTATGCAAGTCCTTTTTAACTCCATTACCGTACCAGTATTGATCGCCCTTGGAAAAAAGTTCTGCGCCAGTTTGGTTCATGGTGAAAACTCGATATATAAAAAAGATATATCTTAGTTTAACGCAAAAAACTTATTATATGACTTTATTTGTATTACACACATATTGAATGTTGGACAGTGATTTTCCGTAAAAGTAACCTTAATCCAGCTATTAGAATTTCACAAATGAACGCTTGTGTTCATAATCAATGATCTTATACGTAATTATCAAAAAATATATCTAAGTTTATAGAAATTATTGCTTTAGCCAAAAAAAAACATAATTTTAAAATATTATTATTTGAGAAAAATTAAATTAGATGACACGATATGATGAAACAGACATTTTTTGAGCAAAAACCAAAACTTATATAAAGCAAAGTATATAAATTGATATTGTATTGTGCAGTTACTTATACTGCTGATTAAAGTTTAAACGGTATAAATATCAATATATATATATTGTGCTATTTAAAAGTTTTAGCGTATCAATTATGATTATAGCAGAACTTTCAGAAAAATTTAATTTTATTAGAAAAAGAGAATATATAATTATAAGAAGAGTTATCATGAGAGTTTCAAACGACATTCCATGATACTGATAAGCGCAACTGAAAACTACAAAGTTATAAAAAATGACATTAAGAACCTAAGATATTAACTTCTGCATAGAATAGCTAAAATCCATTGATTGATCTATTTTTAAAAATACTATTTATGCATGTGTCATATTATTTACTTATGCGTAAAGCTACAAAGTCTTCAAAAAAAATTTTTTCAAGGCATTGTGATTTAAAATTTCATATTTACGCTCATCAAAGTTCTTACTTTCAAGATCTAAACATATGCGAAACTTTTACCGGTGATAATGCCAAGAGATTAATCGCGTAAAAATGCAGTATATGCGAGTATAATCTAAAGAAAAGTTTCACTAATCTTTTGCCCAAAGTTATGAAAAGTCCAGCGGTTTCCAAATTAAAAGTAGACCTTGGCATGCCAATTGTGTTATAAATGTTACGTCGAACTGGTTGTATTTGATATAAAAAACCAAATAAGAGACGAAAATACAGTTCAAAAGTGATCTATGATAAGGATGTGGAAGACGAAAGTTCTGAACGATATAATACTGGAAATTGTTACAAAAATGGCAGAGGTGTTCCCGAAGATTAGAAGAAGGCATTTGAATG